ATCTGCACATGAAATCATCATGTGAGCACAGCAGACTTGTCCAATCGCTGTGTGATACACCTGAAACTAACGTCACATTGTGTGTCAGCTATATTTCAATAAAAAATAGAATAATTCTGATATATAAAAAATACATGTTAAAGGAAAAAAAAAGATAAAAAAATACATGGAAAAAAGCAAAAGATAACATGTGTGCACAGAGAATGGCTTCCAGATGCCACAGCAACTGAGAAGGAAGAATAGGAGCCTGGATGATAGTGTAGCTGGGGCACAGAAGTCTCTTTTTTTGATGTTGTCTTTAGAAAAGCACAAGAGCAAACAAAGCAACCTGATGAACAAACACTGAAAGACGGGGAGGGAACAGGATGGAGGGCAGGTGAAAGGTAGAAAATCAGCCAGGTGACAGCAAACCACCCAGAAATGGAGCCCAGAGTCACAGCCCATCAAGGGCCGGGTCACTGTGCAGAGTCGTGCTAACAATTAGGGAGCAAGGTGGTGCCTGCAACTGCCTACCAGCTCATCATTTGGAACTTGAGGCTTCCAAATGCTGATTTTTATTTATTTTTCTTATTTTTTAAAAGAGATTTTTATTTATTTATTTATTCATGAGAGACAGAGAGAGAGAGAGGCAGAGGGTGAAGCAGATTCCCCACGGAGCAAGGAGCCCAATGCAGGGTTTGATCCCAGGACTCTGGGATCGTGACCTGAGCTGAAGGCAGACGCTTAACCGACTGAGCCACCCAGGTGTCCCTAAAAACTTTGGGGGCGCCTGGGTGGCTCAGTCGGTTAAGCGTCTGCCTTCGGCTGAGGTCATGATCCTAGGGTCCTGGGATTGAGCCCTGCATCGGGCTCCTTGCTCAGCAGGGAGTCTGCTTCTCCCTCTCCCTCTGCCTGCCGCTCCCCCTGCTTGTGCTCTCTCTGTCTGACAAATAAATAAATTAAAAGAATAAGTTTTTAAATGACCTATGGAATCCACTAAACTGAAGAGTAAAGAGCAACACAGGAGTAATAAGAAAAGATGGGATTTTTTTTCCACTTAACAACAATCAACGTTCTTTTTATGTGGCATTTAAGTTTGTTTCTGTAACAGGTGAGACTCAGGAACCTGACATTGAGAACGTTCATGACTTATCCAAGGTCACCTGGTTAGTATATGGTGGGGCCAAGACCCCAATTGCGTCTTATAGCTCCAAATCCTGTGTTCATCTCTTTTGCCCAAGGTCTTTTCTCATTAGTCCACCCCTCACTCGTGTACCCTTCTCCTATCAGTTCATGCATGTCTTGGGTCTGCTCTGGCCCCTAGACTCTAAAGTCATGGAACATTCAGTGAATACGCAGGGGGGTTTAAAATCATCCATCTTAAGTGCAGGGTCTTGAGGGCTGACGATGATGATGGTGGTGGCAGAAGTGAGCCCTGGGTGGTAGCAATGAAAAGTTGTCCCAGTGGGATCTGTTCTTCACTGAACCAGGAGTCAGCACCTGCAAGTCAATGTTTTGAACTGAAACTGGCCAGCGTGCAAAGCCTCAAGTATTTATTATCTGGCCCTTTTCAGAGTCTGCCAAGCCCTGCCCTAGACGGTAATGGCTGGGAGGACAGTGCCCGATTATGTTTAATCATCCTTCTGTAACAGTGCCTAGCATGCTGTCTGGCAAATAGTATGTGATCACGAAGTATCTGTTGAATGAAGGGATAAATTATTTGGTCTATTTGAGCATACACTCTCAGTCCAGCCAGAAGGAGAAATCAGGTAGAGGAATGACATTCAATGTTTCTATGGAAAACAGAGGCACACCCAATATCTAGAAGGTCAAGGTAGAGACAAGGTGGGTGGGGCTTCTGGAGGCTGAACAGAACTTTATAGGAGAGAATCCACTTGGAATGCCATGGAGAGCCTGCACTTTTCATAGAAAGGAAGCAATCAATGTACGCCATTCTCATGTTCATGGAGGGGCCATTCCTCTACCTAGGTCTATAAAAACAAACTTTCCCAAATAATTAAATTAGAAAAAATATGTTTTACATCACAAAAGGACGACTACCTCCTCATGTGATCACAGGCAGGTCATTTTGTCTCTCCATGCCTCACTTTGAAGACGAGAACAGCACTTAACAGAATTAAAATATTTTATATTTGCATAGAATTTGTGGCTTTTCAATGTCCTCAAAAAAAAAAGACAGTATAAATTTTTATTTCAATAATGTTGGGAGGTAGTTTAGACCACACTGATCTCTTGTTCTGTTTCCCTTCCCACCCTATGTTCCAATGTGCCGGCCAGTGCCCTCCAGCCAGTGGTGCCCTAGGCCAGACCAGGCAGGATGCAGGCGGTCCTGTCATCTGCCTGTCTCACCCCCAGATCATTATTAAATGTCCTCTGACATCCTGTTCCCCTCTGCACCCTTTCTGAGCTAGGTGACAATTAATGATAATAGGTTAACAACTAATCCATACAGGAGGCCCCGCCCCCACTGTCCTTCTCAGACAACAGAGGATAAAAGTCATCAACAAAGAGCTTCTGCAGGAGACCCTGGGCAGTGGCAGCTCCGGAATTTCTCTCTGGGGTCTGCAGGGGTCAGAGGAAGGGGTGAGGGCCCAAAGTGTCTTTCAGCTGCCTCTTGACACCTCCATCAGCTCCTGCAGACCATGATGCTAAGGGAGAAAAGTTCAGGCACGGTAGCAAGCCGGTGGGGACCAACCGTCCAACCATGCATGCACTGTTATAAAGGCTGCTCCTGGGTTGGAATCCTGCCTCCACATCTTATTAACCCTGTAACCTTTCTCTGTGCCTCAACTGCCTCACCTGTAAGACAGAAACAATCATATCACCTGTTTCATGGTATCCTTACAGGGAGAGAGTGAGGTAACATGTGGAAAGTGCTTAGAGTGGCATCTAGCATAAAGGAAGTGCTAAACAAATGGTAGCTTTCATTATTTTTTTCATTCATCATTCAGAAATATTCCTCAAGTGCCCACCAAGTGCACGTATTGAACTCAGGCATCAAGAAGGAGCAGGCTGCAAGTTCTATAGAGCAAAGGTCGGCTGGATCTCTGAGCATGCTGACAACCGCACTCATCAACACTGCCTTCTGTGCATGCAGCAGGAGGCCCACATCTGGGATGTTAGGGGGACTGCAGGACAAAGGTTTCCAACCTCCCCGTCCACCTGGTATGGAGGGAGGCCTAGGGCATGCTGTGAACACCCCATTTTACTTTGTGAATCCCCTTGGAGATTGCTGCAGCACTGAGTGAACTCCTGGAGAGAACCCTGTAAGCCATGATGAGAAATCTGGATCCTTCTAACAGTGCAAAGCTTTAGCTGCTCCCAGAGACTATGAGGGAACTTGGAGGGATCTATGTTGGTCAACCAGTTCCTCCCCTGACCACCCTTTGGTGAAAAGTCAGGTTCTCCTTCCCTGAGGCCGGTGGCACTGCACACACAGCTCCAGCCTGGTGCCGTGTCACCTCATGGGACTGGCGTCACAGTGCTCTGTTAGCCACCCACTCTGCCCTATCCTGCGGGCGGGCACATTTGTCCCTGTCTCCTTGGAATCCTCACTGTGGGCCCAGTGTCTGGTGCTCCATAGTGTTGACTGAATCCACTGAGGGGCAATGAAGCCTTAGATCTTAGGGAAGCATCTTCTGACTAACAAGGACTCTGAGGCGACCACTCGAAGCACTAAGTCAATGAACAGACAAAACACTCGAAGCTAGCACTTGTCACCTGCAACACCAGTGGCTGGGACTTAGGAGCGGCCAGAGGGAGAACAGGGTGTGCTCATGCGCAGTCAGGATTGTTCTTTCCTATTATGTGTAAACCCCACGCCCTCCTTTTTCACAGTAAAACCCACTGTCCATAGCACCGTCCAATAGTGGGAGCCACTAGTCTCATGTATTATTTAAATTCAAAGTAATTAAAGTCAAATACAATTTAAATCTCAGTTCCTCGGTGGCACCAGCCACTTTTCAAGTGCTCATGGGGCGTGTGGCTACTGTTTCAGATAATGCAGGCACGGAACACTTCTTTAGTCACAGAAACTTCCATCGGGCAGGCTCTCCTGTCTTTCCAAGAAATGTTAACTCAGACAAATAAAATTTCACAGCACTTTCACAATCACTAAAGCTAATACATTGTTCCCTGGACTACCCAAACGTTTCCAGTGTGTTCTCTCAATAGCAGTAAGACATGAGGAGCTACAAGCTCTCCAGTTCTAGTCCCACACTGTTTGTTTGTTTGTTTGTTTGAATTTATGTATCTTCAGAAATAGTATTAATTCTGTTAGTACCTTGGGGCAGTCCCATGTGGCTTGGAGCAGTTTAATGCAGGGGATGGATGGCTCTAGCCCCAGGAGAAGGAGGTTCATCAATTTACCACGCGTCTCAGCATCGTTACGGAACATTAATGAAGTTGGGTTCGATTTAAAAACGGTCTAAGGCATTATGGATTGGTAACATTCAGCTTCACAGGAACTGGGAATTTCTGAGATATAATCCTCACTCTTTTGCTAATGAGTGTTGTGATATGGGGACTATCATTTAACTTCTGAGTTTCAGTTTCCTGTCCTTAAAATGGGGCTATTACTGACCTACCTAACCCAAGTGCCTGGAGGATTAATGAGTTAATGCTTGCTGAGAACTCTGAGCTCCTTGCATTAAGGTGTGTTGCACATCATTATTTCTATTCATTCTCATGTAGCAGCTGGGAAACATTAGGACTATTATGTTTACTCCTAAAATGCATTTTCTTTCTCAGCATTTTAGCATTACCTATGTTACCCAAACCTTAAATCTGAAAGTAAAACTAGCCCCACAGCAAGACACATTGACATAGTGGGGGTATTTATGTAGTTTTTCCTTTCTTTAATATGAGCATAACAACAGCTTTTCCAGAAGGATGAAGGCGGTAATTGCACTGTAAATTCTCACTGCGTGAAGCTGGTGGTCAATCTTAGCAGATGCGAAAAGAAAGTTATACCACAGCACAATTACACTGTCAACACTTACATGCAATGATATTCCCATATCTGTTCTTCATTCTGTTTTCATCTTTCTTAGCGGAGTCCCATGGTGCAGACTGCCCTTCAAAGAAGCTCTGGAAGAAAGAGAAAAGTGATATAAAGAATTACAATTTGGTGCAGTAAACACAGGATCTTAATGATGGAGGATGTTTTTAAGAAATGTACGGCAAGGGTCAGTAAGGGAAAAGGATGTTCACGGGAATGACAGGATGGATTAAATACCTTGTTTTCCTTTTTGTTTTCCTTTAGTTAATACATTACACACACAGATGGGGGCCAGAGAGTGAACCCCTAATTTATCGTACAATCCATTAAAATGGTGGTATTCACCCTATCCTACTTCAATTTAATACAGAAAAAATTAACATTTCTCTCAATTTCTTAATTATATTACCATTTTTCAATACTCTCTTAAGAGATACAAAGATATTGTTTTTCTTCCCAATTGCTAACTGAAAGAAGGTGATTTTTGGTTGAAACTGTGAAGGTAGGGAAGCTATGACTTCATGCCTTCAAGGCTAAAATCTTGTAATAAATTCTGCCAGAGTTTTCTCTTCAGTTTTAATGGAGCTTAGATGTCCATTTATTTAAGGATTTGGCATTATTATGCCCAGGATCTTTAATCTTCATGTTATTAGTCAGATATATATTTTTTCTATTCAAGTTATAATGAAAATGTCCTTTGGTATCAGTTGACAGGTGAAAAAAAATCTGGGACTTTTATCTCCACTTTAGTTCACATTCCCTTTTATCCTTGTGTAGCCAAGTATATAAAAGGCAAGGGGAAGAAGGATGGAAGCAAGACGCAGTAAGTCAAACTGACTTCTCGTCTTTGCCACCTCTCTTATACTTCTTGGTAGCAACTGGGAAAGAAGATGAGAGGAGAAGAAGTAGACCTAAAGGCAGAGCTGATGAAGAGAGCACCATTCTGAGATACTTTAGGGCCAGAGAATGTGGTGTCTGCAACTCACACCCTCAAACATGCCCAGGATGGCTTTCTAACCGAAGCTCCTAATTCCTGTCTCTCTTATACTATTTGGCCATCTTGGCCATTTCCAACCATTACCAATATTCAGTGATTAGTCTGTGGTTCAACAGAACCTATTTATTATCTCTTTCTATGGGTCTAGCTCCAGCTCATTAGTTAAGCTGCATGACTACTGCTGCAGGGGTAGGATACACCTGCTCTCAGACCCCACAGGGGAGACTCGCCGCTGGTATACTGCACAGGAGATGACCATGCCATGGATGGTGCTCAGCTCATTCTAGTGTCTTAGCTACCAGCCTGGAAACTCCCTGAGACTTTTTTTTTTTTTAATTTTATTATGGTATATTAATCACCAAACATTACATCATTAGTTTTTGATGTAGTGTTCCATGATTCATTGTTTGCAATATAACACCCAGTGCTCCATTCAATATGTGCCCTCTTTAATACCCATCATCGTGCTAATCCATTCCCCCACCCCCTCCCCTCTAGAACCCTCAGTTTGTTTCTCAGAGTCCATAGTCTCTCATGGTTTATCTCCCCTCCGATTTCCCACCCCTCATTTTACCCTTCCTACGACCTTCCTTTTTTAACATATAGTGTTATTATTTGTTTCAGAGGTACAGGTCTGTGATTCAACAGTCTTACACAATTCACTGCGCTCACCATAGC